AAGAAGTTGTCGTCACACCGATTGAAACAAATTCCGACAGAATTGTAGCTATTCAACTTTTTTTGCCATCAGAGGTTTTTCAATTATTGGAGTGTCCTCAGACCACCCCTTGATATGTTTAGAGAATACGTGACTGAATTAAAAGCTCTCCTGAAATTCACCAGGGAGAGTGATTGTCCATATCATTGTCTCTACGACCTAGAGAAAGCTTTTGACACCATCGAACATGCCATGCTCCTTTCGAGTTTAAACAAACGTGGCATAAAATGGGAATGAGCTTGAGACTGATAAAGAGCTGGTGCACAAACTCACAAAGTGGGGTGAAATGTCACGGAGAACTCTCTAGACCTGTCAGCATCAATAGAGGTGTTTGACTAGGACAGTCTTGTCTGCAGTACTTTTTCTTGTGGTCACGGATGCACTCTTGCAGCAACTGCATCAAAATGGTGATGGTCTTACAATCCATGGTCTCACAATCAGTTCTGCCGCCCACGCTGATGACATCTGCTGCATCAGCAACATCCTCAAAGTCTTCGGGGTCAAACAGCAACTCTTGAAAACTTTACTAGAGACAATGCCATCTCAAGATCAAGACGGAGCTTGTGAAATTTTCAGTACAAGTTAGCATATCTGAAGACATCGAGCTAGGCCAGCGGCAAAATGTTTACGCTACTGGTGGAATTCTACCTTCTCACCTGCAAAGTCGTCAATGAAAACATCTCCAAAGCACACAGAACATATTTTGCCCTTGGTGCAATTGGGGCTTTCAAAGGCCTCCAGGATCCATTATCAGGACATAACACTTGCTTGACCTTTGTGCTACCCATTCTCGTTGCGACAACTGGATACTCTCAAAGCCACTGTTTGTGAAGTTGGAGAGTTTTAAACTGAAATTGGCAGGCCGGATGTTGCACCTCCCAAACACCATGTTGATCTAAGTGTATTACGCTGCCCTTGAATCAGAGTGCATATTATCCTTTTGAGGTTCCTGGGAAAGTTACTCTGTTCCATCAGAGATGACATAAGTTCCTGTCACTCTGGCATCTGATGATATATATACACAGGATAAGTCTATAGTTGAGCAGTGCCAGTTCCTAGAATCTGAGTTTGGAACATCTTTCACTGACTAAATGACACTGAGGAATCAGACGTGGTGCTTGTCGATGTTAAGTGCACTCTTGTCGAGAGAGACTGGAGCCTAGTCCTGGAGATGGCCAGCTACCACACCTCACTGAAACATGTATAATTGCCTGACCCAAGGAATGCCTCTACTTGGTGCAAAGTGTGGCCTCAACCATGGTGTTCATGGCACCAAATCAATGCACCTCCCAAACACCATGGTGTTCGTGGTGTTGAAACTAGCTGAGTGCTTGCTCAGATAGCAAACACTTTCTTAGAATATTCGGCACATCTGAACTGAACTACTGTACAAAACTTCAAACCTTTTATATCTATCTAGGAATGTTCTAGAAGTGACCACGTGCATAGAATAGCCCAGAAGAAGTGTGCATGTGCATGGAATACTCTAGAAGACTCACGAGAAGTTCTGTTTACAATAAATATAAGTGTTAACTGGATAGCTTGTCAATGTCAAAGCAACAAGACTGTGCAAGTGCATTTTCAACACTCCTTCTCACTTCTCAGACTGTAGCTCTTGTACCCACATCATGTTCCGCAATCGTTTAAACTGATCTTGAGATAGTCCTTTTGTCAATATATCCGCAATCATTTTCTTTATTTCAGGTTCAACTCTTCCATTTTGAACCTGCTCACGAACTTGATATCAATGTCTTCCATGGAATTTTGGATTATTGGTCATTGCAATTGCTGACTGGTTATCTTCATAGATAACTGTGGGATTTGATGGTGGATGGTTGAGTTTGGAGTTAAGTTGTCTTAACCAGATTGCCTCTTGTACAGCACTGGCAAGTGCCACGTATTCCGCCTCAGCTGTGGATAGGGCCACATTGGTTTGCTTTTTGCTGCGCCAGCTTACCACTCCTCCACTCAGTATGAACATGTATCCAGATGTCGACCTTTGGTCGTTCAAGTTGCCAGCCCAATCAGCATCTGAGTAACATTCAATGGTTTTCTCACCATCTCTGTGGTATAGTAGACTGTGATTTTGAGTTCCATTTAGATATCTCCATTATGCACTTCACTGCTGTCCAATGTTGTTTTGTAGGCTTTGAGCAAAATCGGGCTACACTGCTGACGGCAAATGTTACATCAAGGAGACTTCCAACTGCAGATTGATAAAGTCTCTGATCGACTAACCCACACCCTTCAGAGGCTTCCAGCAGCAACTGGTTTGGAATCTTCCATCCCATATTTCTCAAGTACATTGATTGAATAGTTGCTCTATCCAATCCAGGTCCCTCCCCCATGATCTTGTTTTATTGCAACACCCAAGAAGTAGTGAAGAACCCCATATCTTTGACCTCTACTTTAGTGCTTCTTTCACTTCTCCCATTCTCTTGTCTGTTCTTCAGGCTAAGATAATGTCATCGACGTACAATCAAAATCAATCAAAAATGGTTCTTCTTCTGAGGATTTGTATATACAAGGATCACTGGTGCTTTGACTAAAACCCATTTTCTTGAGTTGTACATCCAGAACTGTGTTCCAGCATCTTGGTGCTTGCTTTAAACCATAGATGCTCATCTTCAGTTTACACACAAGGTGCTCCTGACCTTCCGATGCAAAGCCTTCTGGTTGTTTCGTGTACATTTCTCCGTCTAAATCACCATTCAGAAATGCAGTAGTGACATCCATCTGGTGAAGCTTTAGTCCATCCTGTACACTTAGTGCTATTAGTGTTCTGATGGATTCAGGTCTGACAACGGGGCTGAAGGTCTCGTCATAGTCTACACCATACTTTTGCGAACATCCTTGTGCCACCAGGCATGCTTTATACCTTTCAATGGATCCATCAGATGTAGTCTTTACCTTAAACACCCACTTACTTCCGATTGCCTTTCTGTCTGTTGGTAGCTCTACCAGATCCCAGACATTATTATCCTGGATGCACTCTATTTCTTATTTTGTCTGGACTATCAAGAGCTTGACGAAAGGTCTGTGGTTGTTGGTAGTTTGAGATATTAGCCCATTCTCCATATATAGTACATAGGTGGCCTTCTTTCCCGCTCAGATCTGCGTGGTGCTGGTTGTACTGCATGGTGTGTCTGATAGTGTTTCATCGTCACTTGGAAGTTCAAGTTCAACGTATCGTCTCTTGTCTGGGTCACTTGACTCCTTCTCAACACCACACTCCAGCTCGTTAAACTTCACATCTCGACTGTAGAATATCTTTCCATGCTTGAGTCCTATAAGCGATATCCTTTTGTCTCTGTACCATATCCAATGAGGATACTTTGATTTCCATTGTGAATTCTTCTGTTTTCCTCTTGAGAATATACACCCATGCAGATATATCTTGTCTTGTCAACAATGAATGTCAAAAAATTCTCAGCTCCACTCAGTGTTTTTTCACTGAGTTTTTCGCTGTGAACGAGGTCAAGAGGCTCCCGAGCACTCTTTGCTTGATTGGTCGGGAATGTGATTTTATGTTGCTTGCCCTGCATGCAGACTCACAAAAACTGACTTTCTTTTCAGCACTGTAGTCGAAGTTATTTACCAACTGTTCTCTGGAAAGTTTCAACGATGGCAGATAGCCTCTTTCTCTTGTTTGTCAGCTACACTGGCCATTTCAGGAGTGGTTTCAATATCAAGGTGGTAGAGGCTACCTATCTTTGTGGCTCGAGCAGTCAGCTTGCGATTTAAATCAAGTATATGACTGGCAACTTTGCCAAACTTTGTCACCTTTGAATATTGTGTGGCCTTTGACACGACTCAATAGATTGCACGAAAGAGAGGGAACATACAACACATCGTTGTGTTTGCATTTCTGTTCTTCCGTTTGGCAGCCTCATGTCCGGTATCACGGTTCCCTTGCCAGTTGCCTTCAGGGAATGGCCATCTCCTAACATGACATCAAGTGGCTTCTCCAGGGTATGTAACTCAGTAAATGAGCTGCGATCATTGCATATGTGGCTGGTGGCTCCTGAGTCTACAATCCATCCCTCCTTCTGACTCACAGATAACGCAATGAGATGCCATTAACCCAGTATCCTCAGAGTCAGAGCTGCTTGCATCTCTGTGCCTCACTTCTGAGTGATTCGCCTTTGTCAACTCGTGGCTTTTCCTTTCTGACGAATGTAGCTCACTGCAGTTTCGTTGAATATGCCCAATTTTACAACAGTGTTAACATTTTGGTCCTCTTCGCTTTTGGGTTCTATGCTTGCCCACCATTCCTTTCTCACTGCTTCCACTAGTATCATCTGCCATGCTGCGATCTTTCAACTTCCTTTCTTCATATTGTAGTAGTCGCTCAGTGACAACTTCCATTTGTGGTACCTCAGAGTTTGCCTCTAGTGCCGTCACCAATATATCGTACGATTCCGGCAGGCTCGCTAGCAGAAAATACCACTCTGTCTTCCTCTTTTATTGGATCGCCGACAACCGAGAGAGCGTCAAACACTTCCGTCATGGCCTCACGTGTACTTGAACACAATTGCCCTGTCTTAATCTCAGTGAATGCAGTTTTCGTCGTAGCTGGCCAAATCAACCTCTTCCGAGTCATGTGCAAAACCTGTTTTTGATGACCGGGGATAGACCTATCCGGCCAGATAAAATGCGGGGGGATGAAATGTACCGCTACACTGGACATGTTCTAGTTGTTGCAATATTGATTCGCCATTATCATTCTTGGAACACTAGTCACTGTGTCAGTCACTCCATGGACAACATCATAAAGCTGATCTGATAGAGGACTGTCACCCATCCATATTCCATAATACATTTTGTGAATAGCTATATGTTTTTTGTCACTGTCGGTTTATTTCTTTTCTGTTGTCTATCCTTCCATGCAAGAGGGCGTCCAACGGCAGCATTCTTACGCATGCGCATTAGATGCAAAGAAGGAGTAGCTTGTTTGCGTATACGCCCCTTTTATCCCAGTGGGAGTTTGTTCTGCGGAGGAGGCACCATCTGGACTTGTCTCTCTCCTCCAGTCGACTGGTAAGCAGCCGCACGTTTTCCTTGTAAAAATGGGAACCAAGCAAAGTCGATTGCGACGCAAAGACGAAAAGCTCCCTTCAGAGCTCCTTGGGTGGAGAAAGAGGCGCACAGACGATAATGCCCCTTCGGAGAAGGAAAAAGAAGGCGCGGCACACGCAGTTGGACAAGCTGCCACACCCTCTCCAGGTATCAATATATAGCGTCGTTCCTGCTGTGAGTTACCCTGGTAGCTCTGTGGGCATACTTGTTAAAGAATCGAGTGTACTGTGTTCGAGTCCCACCCAGGGCAGCTCTAAAAGTGTTGTCATGAATTGCGTTTGCCTTGTGCGTTTACCTAGCTAGACTACACCCCCTGATTCCTGTGAGAGTGTATTTTTTTACATCCAGTCCTGCCCCGCGTTCCTACAAGTAATTTTTCAGGGGTGTGCCTTCATCTCGCGAGTACAAGGGACACTTGTCTTTAGGTCTCATGTGAGCTGTACCGTACATCGGCTGTAAGAGTGCCCATAATCACTAAGTACGGTAGTACTTAGTATATAGGGATGGGCTTGGTACCTAGCTGTATGGGGCTATTACTTATTTTGTTTGTAAGCAACATTGTTTACTGTAAACAACAACAAACAGCCCCAGGCAACACTTTGTAATGGAATGACATGTGTCAGTGTAACTTGCAAATGGTATGAGGTTTGTAAACAAATGTTTGTAGACATAATGTATTCAATCACCAACATCAAAATCATGACAGTACATGTTTGTAAACAACAACAAATAGCCTCAGGCACTTTTCTTTAATTTTACTTCTTCACTCCTCGTTCCTCAAACTTTCTAATGGTAGCACGCATAGAGGTGAAACTTGGTACGAATGGATATTACATCATTCTCATTACAACTGCATGTTTCCATGACGACTACATATAGTTTCAACAATGACAAAATAGTCTCTTTTATAAATTACTTCTTCACTCCTCAAACTTGGTATGCATGCGTATTACATTGTTTCCATGACAACCTGAAAAATAGCCTCAGGCACTTTTTGTTAATGGCAGCACACACAAAGATGAGACTTGGTATGCATGTGAATGACATTGTTTCCACGACGACCAGATTATTTGAACAATGAAAATAGCCTCAGGGCATTTACTTCTTCACTCGCTAACGGTAGCACTTATGGGGATGAAACTTGGTATGCATGCATATGACATCGTTTCCATGACGACCACATTTGTTTGAACAAAAACAAATAGCTTCAGGTACACATGCGTATTAAATCATTTCCATGACGACAACAGGCATCTTTCTCTTTTCATTTTTATAGGGGGCTTGCCCCCTGTCACAGAGATATACACATAGTAGTATATAAAAATGAGTGGAGACAAGTAAATTAAAAATCCTGCGAGTTTAAAAAAAGGCATATAGGGATGGTATAAAAATAAAGGGATGGGATGCATGAAGCATGGTTAATGAACAGATTTGAGCACGCTGACACCCCCAACCCCATCAATATTGTTGCCTAGGTGAAGTATTTAACGTTCGACATTACACAATAGTCAGGACTTACAGCAAAAAAGTAATGCTACTGAGTAACCAAGTTTACGAGTGGCACACCAGGCAACAATATAGGAATTGCCTGATGGGGTCGGGGTGTCAGTGTGCTCAAATCTGTTCGTTCTCATTTCCCTCCATGTACAGAAATGTTTGTGTGTGTCCGTCATTTTACTGGGATTGAAACTGGGAGCAATATCAGACCTCGTTGATGTAAATCTGACGTGCACACTTTTTTGCACAATCAATATCAATAAAACATAAGAAACCACATCCTATAAACACCTACGTACGTAACAGAAAATTTCCTCTGTCAGTGAAGTACCTGCAGTGAAAGCAAAACAGCTTTAGAGGAGGTATATACATAGAAGAGTGAGAGAAAGACGAATGATGGAAAGATGGCATAAAATAAAGCAAAATGTCTAGCTGGAACATAATCCAGTGCGTGACTTCACCGTGAGCAAACCGTTCTCCACTGTTATGTGCAGTAGTCTCAAGCGGTATGTGCAAGCATATTAAAGCCTTAAAAAAAGGTGAAAAGGTCAACGTTACAGTGTTTCCCGCAGGGTAATACTCAAACAGGGTGCTTATGAATTATTAATTACCTCAGCTTTGAGGCTGAAAAACATTACACGTTTCAAAGCACTTCCTATTGGGAAATCTCCTACTGGCCTAAAGCCTTTCAAGTGCTACTCTATAAGCAGCGCATTACTGCGCACAGTGTAACTGCGCTAGTTGCATTTTACACATGCGCAATAATTGTACACGCCCATTTTCGGGATTTTTCAATCCGGGCGGTGCGCCCGGTTGTTATAATGCTGCGGGAAACACTGCGTTAATATGTAATGCTCAGAACCTTACCACCCATATTATACACCTGCACATGAACAGAGGCTCAAGGAGCGTCCAATGCTAATCCATTACCACTACCTTATATAGCGTAACGCACATATTTGTAGTAAAGTTATGATGTTGGTTATATAAACATACTCTTCTTGTGCGGTATTTAAGAAAAATGCCCCCCCCCAACACTTCTTATAGGTAAGACGGCAAATTCGAGTGTCTTCGAAAAAGAGGAGGTAGAAGGCGCGGCACACGTAGTTGGACAAGCTGCCACACCCTCTCCAGGTATCCATAGCAAACGTACGCGTCGTGCCTGCTGTGAGTTACCCTGGTAGCTCTGTGGGCAGAGTACTTGTTTAAAGAATCGAGTGTAGTGTGTTAGAGTCCCACCCAGGGCAGCTCTAAAAGTGTTGTCATGAATTGCGCTTGCCCTGTGCGTAACCCCTGTGAGAGTGTACATCCAGTCCTGCACTGCAAGTAATCTTTCAGGGGTGTGCCTTCATCTCGCGAGTACAAGTAGTCCTACTGGACACTTGTCTTTAGGTCTCATGTGAGCTGTACCGTACATCCTCCATTGGCTGTCCTCCATGTACAGCTAGGGGAAATGTTTGTGTGTGTCCGTCCATAGATCATTTTACTGAGATTGAAATGGGGAACAATATCAGTCCTCGTTGATGTAAATCTGACGTGCACACGTTTTTGCACAGTCAAGATCAAAATGAATGCATAAAACATAAGAAACCACATCCTATAAACAGCTACGTGAGTAACAGCAAATTTTCCTCTGTCAGTGAAGTATATACCTGCAGTGAAAGCAAAAGAGCTTTAGATGAGGTATATACATAAAAGAGTGAGAGAAAGAGGAATGATGGAAAGATGGCATAAAATAAAGCAAAATTTGTAGCTGGAACATAATCCAGTGTGTGCCTTCACCGTGAGCAAACCGTTCTCCACTGTTGTGGGCAGTGGTTTCAAGCGTGTGTGCAAGCATATTAAAGCCTTAAAAAAGGAAAAGGTAATAATGTAATGCTCAGAACCTTGCCACCCATATTGTATGTTTAATACTCCTGCACATCAACAGAGGCTCGTGGACGCAAGGAGCGTCCGATGCTAATCTATGACTATTCCCTGCACTACCTTATATAGGACAATGCACACATATTAGTAGTAAAGTTATGATGTTGGTCAGGGTTATGTAAACATACTCTTCTTGTGCTGTGTTAAGAAAAATGCCCCCCAACTCTTCGTAAACTTAATGTGGCAGTATACTCCTTTCGGTCACAAATTACACACTTCTAAAAACATCAACAAAACTCTACACAAACTTTGACCTCTTGATCCATCCGGGCGGCAAGGCATCCTAGACGAGGTCCGGCTCTGGTCGTGATCCATCCGGGCGTTACGCGCACGTTTAGTACGCGGTGCCGTTCTTTATACTTAATCCCTGTTCAGCGACGAGATACTATCTTGTCTAGACCAGGAGAGGAACTCGACCGTATACTCAAGCTCGCCGCAAGCCAACAGTACGAATCCTCGGACGCTCAGCCCACAACAACAACCGACAACTGCGTCGGCTACGAGACCCGCCCCCACCACAACCGCAGCGTGCTTCGCTCCACAGCTCGTTATGCGCTTGCTCCCCAATGGGTGAAAATAAGGGGGAATGAGTGGGTGAATGAAAAACATGAGGAACAGTTCTATTCATCCTGAGGGATGCCGCCCTCGGATGTTGCGAGGGTAATGTCAGCGTCCCGTAATGGTCTGTTGATGGACTATCTAGTCCCGCGGATGCACATGATGGATGATCGGACAGCGGCAAAGGATAGCTTGCACCTTAGCCAACTGATGACAATGGGGTATGGCATCTGTTGTTTCCGGGCGAGCATGTCCGCCAGCCTTTTGTAGAAGGTTGTGGCTTCTCGTCCCATCCCCCCAGTGGTGGAGAACACAAGAGGTGTGAAGACCCCGCACTCCACATCCCGAACACGTTGGCCATAAGCCCGTTTCTTGATGTCCTCGTGTTTCTTGTAGGCCGCAGGTAAGGATCCTGATCTATTACTCGGTGCATTCGGGTGAAAAACCCTTACGTCGAAATATGCATCTTGAGCAGCAGACCAGAATCCTCTTGCGTGGATGTCTAGACGGGCATCATCAGAAGTGATGGCTGTGCGATGGGTCAGGGATTCCCCGCTGAGAGGTTGGAGTCGGGGTTCGGTGGCAACGTTATGGCATACTTCCGAGAGCAGTGAGGCCGTTACGTCACGCAGCTCGTTATGTCAAATTGTAGGGAAGCCCCCCTTGGGGCAGATAATGGCATGATCAGTTGAGAAGGCTGTGCCACAGCTGCATTTGGTTGGGGTGTTCGGCAGCTTCCAGCCATATCGCAAACAAATTGCATCTTTGAACGCACCCTTGTGGAGGAAAAAATTGTGGTCATCAAGTGGCAGGACTGATAGCTACGAGGAAGCGCCTTTCTCCATAGCAAGGTCAACGTGGCGTTTCAGTTGTGGAGAGAGGTGGCCGTGAACAGACTCGGCTTGTTGCGCCTGATATTCGCGATTAGATCGTCGTATTGAGGCCTTTGCTTCCAATACTTCTGCTATGTCCACTGATCGGTCCTGATCTTGGGTGGCGATGGTAGCAACTAGGGGTGATGTTAGTCTCGTTGAGGCTTCAAAGTTGCGATGTGATGTAGATACTGGGTTGGTAATTCCCATTCCGCCGAGGCGTACTGGCAGAGCTAGCAGGTCCCTCTCCTCTCTTGAGCAAGGTGGGCGACCAGTTAAGGCTGGGATCAGATGTTGTTGGATAGCTTCCTCCAGTGGATTTAACAGGTCAGCGATATCAGGGATGGTTCGAGACAGAAAGGACCAGCGACTCGAGAGACCGTGAGTGTAAGTACTGTAAGCGGCATGAGGTTGTGTCTGGGCAATATGGGCTAGTTTTTTTAATCTCTTGCTCCCCAATAGATCCCGTCGTCCGAGGCAGCGGGATCTGCTGAAAATAGATCCCGCGTTTGGACCAATGAAATTGCGCGATTTAAAATATTATTACCGGGATCTAAAACAGGTTATTGCCTGTTGCTAAGTTTATTCCGCAAAATAAACTGCCAACAGGGCTGTGGTTAGGGAGCAGGGAGATGTTGCAGGTGTCAATAACTGGTGTTGATTGGAAAGGACAATAGAATTCCTTGTGGCTAGGGCGATGTTGCAGGTGTCAATAACTGGTGTGGAATTTTAGTCAGTACTGTGTACAAATAGCACGACCTTTTTTTCGTTGGGAATGGAAGATTGGACTGATTTACCGCCATGTTCACCCGAGGCAACACCACTAGAATCCGTGTTTTTCGGAACATACATCTTCGCGAGCGCTCCTTCGGCGCATTCGTCTAAGAACTCCCACCGGTGGGAGCATTTCTTGGAAAGACTTAGGCGCTTACTCTTGGATGGAGGCGAAGACGACGGACCGGAGCCTCCCTTTCCCGGATTTGCCCGCTGCTCAACACGGCGCTTTCTCGTAAGTGGCGTTAAATCAGTCCAATCTTCCATTCCCAACGAAAAAAGGTCGCTAGAACGAGCCACCGCTGAGGCCGTCAGAAGCGAAGGAGACACAACCGGCACAGCGCTCGCGTCCGCCATTCTTCCCGCCCAGTGTAAAATTGGCTGTTTGACGTCACGTTACCATAGTAAATACTGCTTCCGGCGTCTTAATTGGCAATAAATCAATTATAGCATGCCTAGTCGGTATGTTGCGGTTTATTCCGCCCTCCCCCTCGGGCGCTACGCGCGGGCGTCGGGCGGAATAAACCAGCATACTTCCTAGGCATGCTATAACTAATACTTATTGCCCTAGAATAATTTTTCCATTATAGCAACACCCTACAACATATTTTTTGCCCTAGCTAGAAAAAATGTTGGCTACGGTTTTTAGCCATATTTTCTAAGGCCAACTTCCAGTTTTTTGTCCAATTGTTTCTTTTTGTTGAGGCAAAGTGTGTTGCAGAGTTGAGTTTCCTGGGAATATTGCAATTCTAATGAGATTGCCGCTTCCTTGGAATAATTATCAGCATGCAGGAGTGCATGGCTTTGACGAAATGTTGGACCCTTTATGAAATCTCCATGTTGTAGATATGTAGATAATCAGTGCATTGAAACTAGTTGTGGAGTGATAGAGTGTGTTATTAACCCTCGGCGCGCTTGCGCAGCGAGGGTTACAGTACTCATTCTGTCTGTCTGTCTACGACTATTCTCAGCCTACGAGGCAGCTTATGAGCGATACCAACAGCTTTAGGGGTACATGGGCTAGAAAAATAAAATGGTGATTTTGCTCAAACGACTGCGTCCGAGAGTGACAAACTGGCACGGCCGCGGACCGCGTTGCATGGCCCAACACATCAATAAGCGGTGCGCATGCGTATATCAGACGCGATCAACGCAGTAGGCTAACTCACCTCGACCTGATCTGCTTGCTCTGTGTACCTTGGAGGCACAAGAAGCCACAGCGTAGGGTGTGTATCGACTCCCGCATGCTATCTACTACCGTAGCTAACCCGTGTTTGACTCTCTGCGAGCTACTAGTGGGAGACCGCGAGTAAACGCCAATAGCCCAGCCCCCATCCATTAACGGTATCGCGCATGCGCAGTTCGCCGAGGGTAGTGCTTTTCATTTGGAGAAAGTTTCAGTACTAAATAAGAGGGGTAGGTGCAATCAATGCCAAGTCACCAAGACAGTCACACATCCTTTGGGTGTGGCGTCTGCAGAGTGAGGTTGTGGAAGACCACCTGTTTTGCAGTTTCACCAGTTTCATGGACTGAGGTGGTTAAAATTTCAATCATTGTATGCCATAATTATACTGAGAGGTACACAAAATGAAACGAGAGAGGAGTATATAAAAGGAGTAGAGAAAAAAAACAATAAATAGAAGAACAAAACAGACAAAAACACAATACCAAACACAAGAAAGATAATGATGTCAATAGAAGGGGGGCCAATAGGGAATCGGTGGAGCCAAAGAGCGGCATTCCCACCCCAGAGAGAGACAGAGCAGCACTGGAAGAGGTGACATTTTGGAGAAAGCTAAAATAAAAATTGTATGTTTATTTATCGCCTGAGAAGCGAAAGCGCAGCGATCGTAACGTAACGGTCTCAGAAGGAGAGCGGCAGTGTCAGAGTGATATTTTGGAGAAAGCTAACGTGCAAGAGTTGAATTATTTTTTGTGTAGGCGAAATTCGAAACAAGAGTGGCAAGCCCGTATTCGCCAAAATACATCCACCAAATTCTCTGTGGTCTACAGCACTACATGGTCGATCGCAATTTGACGCTCTAGTTCTTTGACTGCGTATACATACACTGTACTGTGTAAATTCCTCTCTCATGCTAATTGCATTCCTGATACACTTCACTATGCATTGCACGTGGGCAGGGTCGAAGAACCCTCTGCTATACAAATGTGCGCATCAACTCAAATTGCATTCCCACATCCCTCGTTATTGCGCGTGGGCAGTACGGGCAGCAGCTAACTCACTCAATACATACCGCGGTGCGCTTTTGATGTTAGGCCTAGCCAGGATACAAGCATTGGTAGTGTGTAGGGACCCGCAATTGAACGGGGACCAATACCAGTCGTTGTTAATGTAAGTGAATACTCGCACATGTGCATTTTGTTTTACACAGTCAAGATCAAAATGCGTACTCAAACAGAAACCACATCCTAAACACCCTACATAACAGCAAGTCAATCATTTTCCTCTCTCAGTGAAAAAAGCGGGGCACACTGCACCCGCGAAGCGTGTCCAGGTACTAACTGTACTGCATGAGTTTTTTAAAACCTGATGTAGAAATGGTGACTCCTGGTCCCAGTGAGTCTGGCTTTATCATGCCTAATCCGCAAGAGCATATAACACTATAAATTTTATGTTACGGTAAAATTAGTGGTTTTTTAATGACTTGGAGATGAGAATAGTTCAGAGAACAATAGCGATTTTTCAGTGTAATAGCCGTGAATTTTTAAAGGAATACTTTTCACATGCCTAACGAGTGTCCAACGCTAACACTGTAGTGCACTGCACACATACAGTATTTTTAGGAAGGTTATGTTTGAGGCAAGAGATAAGCATGGTTATGTATATGTTATTACACCTTTTGGAGTGGTGTTGCTGGTTTATCCGCCCGACTCCCCGAGGGCGCGTAGCGCCCGAGGGGGGAGGGCGGATAAACCGCAACACCACGACAAAAGGTGTAATAAAATGTTTATTACCGCTGATTGGTCGTTGGTGGTGAAACCGCGCGCGAAAATGGCGCATCCACCCAAATAAGGCGATGCGCGTGAACCTGCGCATGCATAACGTGCCGTTATCGTACGCCTCCAGGCAAACACGATCGACGCTAACTGGTCGATCGAGGGAGCGATTGAGGGAGAGATGGCAGAGGCTTCCGTTTGGAAGTCGAGGGGTTGGGATTCTGCGACGTCGCTGCAAGACTCCGCGTCCGAGAGTAGCGCTCCTGGGGACGGGCCGTCGGCATCGAAAAGCGTAGGCTCTCGCTGACAAGGAAGAGGCTACGTGCACTACTTACGCAGCTACGAGGTTTGAATTTTTAGATGATGCAAGAGCGAGGCTCTCAGCAAGAAGTTTGTGCCTACGCCTTTTCGATGCCGACGGCCCGTCCCCAGGAGCGCTACTCTCGGACGCGGAGTCTTGCAGCGACGTCTCAGAATCCCAACCCTCGACTTCCAAACGGAAAGCCTCTGCCATTCGCTCCCTCATCTCCCTCGATCTGTCAGCGTCGACATAAGAACATTGATACCCAACCCTAACCACAGTGGATATTCACACCATTCCTTAGTTATTCACCCTAACCACAGTGGATATTCTCACCTTCTCACCCTCTTGGGTGGGTAGCTGATTTATTGTGCCTTTCTTTCTCTTGGGGTATACGATCTATTGTATTGACAATGTTCGACTGCAGATTGGAGAAACAGGAGGCCCGAGAGGTTTTGTGGGGCAAGCCCCAGTTGAGGTAGGAACGACCTGAAGGTGGCCCAGCTTAACCTCCCGCTTGAGATAATCAGTTTTTACCTGTGGGTGGTCGTAAGCTGCCTGCAGGTTGCGATACGAATCCGAAAACTACTGCCTATGCCAATCTAGCAATAAATTGTGATTGTTTGTTGTTGTCCTGAGATTGAGAGAAGCCCCACCGTCCCTGGCGGCAAAGTGGGGTAGGGAGATAAAGGCACTTGGCACAGTATTGCTGTCATTGCTTGGAAAGAGGCCTCAGGGATAGTAACTCTGCAGTGAATTCGTAGGAGCCATGGACAGAGTTACCCAGTCGAAGAATTTTGGGATCCTTCAATGTTGAGGTGGCACAGAGGGAAACATGACATTGCAGGGTTAGTGATTATAGTCCTTTTTGACATGCACTACGAATCAGCCGGGTTGCATGAAGCAAAAGTTCAACAGCCACAGCCTTAGGATTGTTGTGGGTGTTGTTGAATTGTTAATCGCTTTGCTTACATACCACACATATCACTTACACCTTTTTTTTACAAACTCATTACCGTATAACCGGTCCTAATCCGTACTATCCGAACCTTCTAATACGTGATGCTCAGCCTACTATAATATGCGGACTAAGAATGCAAATGACGTTGATTGGTCGTTCTGCGATCTGATTGGAGATCGAGATCTACGACTGAGACAAACGCGTGCCTCGTGGGAAAAAGGGGTGTTCACACGAAGTCGAGACACTGATCACATCACAGACTGTCCAAATCAATGTCGAGTGCATCATAGTCCGCAGAGTTTTGTAGAGGCATCACACACTGAATAGTGGTCCGCGAGATCGATTACGATTAGAACGAAAAATCGAATGAAACATCGTTTACGAAATTGATTTGAGTGAGAAATCGAGTGAAAGATTGTTTACAAAATGGATAATTTTTCCGAGTAAGTTATCGATTTAGAGAACATTTTCCCAAGAAAATCGAGTCAAAGATCGATTTAGAGAATGATTTTCCCCCCATAAATCGAGCAAAAGATCGATTTGAAGAACGATTTAAAAATTGAGTAAGTGATCGAGTTAGAGATCGATTTTTGACAGGCAGAGAGTCTTTTCATTTGTCGTGCATCATGAGACACACGTTCTAACTCACGTAACAATCAGCGACCACGATCTAGAACACTTTCCGGGGACTGTCAGTGGTGCTGTGACGCTCCTGGTATCTTTTGGAAGCTCTGTCTTGAGAAAGTGGTGGCAAAAATTGATGTACGCTTGTAAACTGTCTTCTTAAGAGTCTGGGGATAGAGCAGGTCCGTTTTGAGTGTTAGTGGCATCTTGTCTGCATTGACGTCTGGGCTTTTTTCGTGTCTGTAAAGGCCCACATGTGCAAGCGCCTCATTTTCGAATTATGCAACATCGATAATGCCAAGAACTAGAAAGCCTAGTGTCGTGCCCAGACCCCACCCACTCATCACGTGGAAATGGGGGCTGGTAACTATTGACTCATTTCTTGGTCCTAGAAAACGAGATCTCCAGTCAGATTGCAGAACAGCCAATCAACGTCATGTGCATCTCCAGTGAGATCGCAGAACGGCGTCACGTGCATCCGTAATCCATGGACTTTGGTAGGCGGGGCCGCATATGCATCACATACTAGACAAGGGGTTCGGATATTACGGATGTGACGTCTGTAGGACCAAGTTTTTTGTCAATAGCTCCCAGACGCTCCTTTCCCCTGTGGGTGGAGTGGCTGGGTACGAGACTAAAGAACTCTCTTTTGCGCGGGAGCACGTGAGGGTCTGGGAACGAGACTAAAAGATCCCAGACCCTCTTTCACTCACAGAGGGGCGGGGTCTGAGAACGAGACTACAGGCATACTTCGCACTGCAAATTAGGGGAAGGAATCCTTCCATATATAGACATCAGCAACCAACCTAGCATCATTAGCCTCATTAACCCTCGACGGGCATGTGCACGGTCTGTCTGTCTGTTACAACCACTGCATGCAATGATGTAACAAAATACCCATACCGAAAGGTTCAGCGCTACACTGGTTTAATTTTAAGTTTTGCGATTTTGTAAGAGTACTGCATTCGAGGAATATGGTGTGAAACCCAGTCATAAAAATTTAAGCTTACCTTGACCTAATCCAATTGTTCTGTGTACCCTGGGAAAAAGTCACAGCGATGGTCGTGTATCGGACTCACGCATGCTATCTACTAGTGTAGCAGGCCCATGTCAGATTCTCCGTGAGCTGAATACAAGTAAACGCATAGCCTAGCCCAGACCACCAATTAGCGATACCGTGCATGTGCAGTGCGCCGAGGGTTTTGCTCTTTAGTGCTTTTCAGTGTCACCCCATTCTATTAGCAATAAGCGTCATTAAAGTATAGGAAAAACCAATGTGCATGATAGGGGGCACAATTATACCTTGACCTATCATGGCTAATGGGTCACTGATGCATGTGGTTACAGTGATGTGGCACTATGTTGACTAAATGGCCCAGATGACGTCACATACAATAACAAATAGCATATGGTGTGATATTCTGCAGGGATCGGCATCTCCAAGGCAGTAGTAGAGACTGAGCAAAGTCAGTCAGAATCCTCTCACACTCTTCCCCAAGAATGTGAAACTGCTACTAATACCACAAGACTAAACGAGACTATCAAAGACACTTCAGCTCTTAAAACAGTCAATACCCTTACAATAGACAATACTCAAGATGTTTTTGAGAAAATGTATGAAGCACGAGAGAAGTGGCGTAACATTGGGGGAGTCTTCCGTCTTTCTGAGTCAACTCTGGATAATATTGACTCCGAGAACAGAAACAATGACGACAAGCTACGTAAGGTCATCATGGAATGGCTCAATAGATACGGAGGAACTGGAGATTGCACTTGGACCCATGTGGCCATGGCACTGAGAAATAAAACTGTGGCTCGAGAAGATGTTGCTCGTGAGGTGTTAGAGCAGCATCCCCAGCCATGGAGTGTTCCTCCTCCCTCCCTTCCTCCTCCACACACTTCCCCTGACTCAGGATCTGGAGCTACTGCAGCTACTCCGAAACCCAGTACCTCCCAACCTAAAGCAGGTAAATTTTTATGGCTAAGATTTAGATCTGCACAATAAATGTAAATGTATGTAGATGGAGTTGTTATTGACTTTGCTGGTAACATTACCTGCAGTACAGACAACTTTGACAAAATTCAACATGTTGCCTTAGTTCAAATGTGTAGCTATTGACTTTGAGTTCCGTAGTTTACGCAAGGACAGAGCAGTTTCATGTACAGTGGGTCCCACTTAATATCTTACCGTTTAATAGAATATCCTGTTTATTACCTGAAATCCAAAACCATTTCCTATGCTTTCCCGTACATTTTACTCCGATTCGGATAATGTCATACCCTGCCTATTACCATAGAAAAATGAGCAATTTTGGTTTTTGCGGTAGCTATTGTCATATTGCTCATGCTTCATTAAGCAATCTACAACCTTGGACAGGAGTTTTGTAACTCTCCATTCTCCACCTGGCTGCATTAGCTTATGTAAACAGCTAGGCTAGCCTGATTAGCTTAGCTAAACAAACTATTATACATTGTGCGCTCACTGTATACACAGTATACACACCAGCATTGTAGAGTATCCCACATATTTATCATATTTTTTGGGGTGGGTTGGTATGATATTGACTGGGTATACTACTGTTGCAAGTATTAACCATTGGCTTAAGCCGTGCAGCTCTACACAGTGAATTAACAGACATGTTCTTGTTTTAATGGAACAGCCTAGAGGCGTTGTTGGACACTCAACTTACTGCAGAATATCGGGGAGCCTTTTTATCAGTATTGGTTTGTAGAGAGAACCTTGTCCTCAGTTTGTCTGTGTTGGTTGTCCGGCACAGTATGTGCAGTTTACAGTCATGTTTTAATCTTGAATTATCAATTTTGCCGATTTACTGTATTTGAGAGTGTCATACAAATCTCTTACCAATAGATAAACCAACTGCATTAAGCATCAGTTCTATGCCTGAAATGGAGAAGAGAATTTTACAACGTAAGGTTAACGCTGATACAAACCATATGATAGAGCAGTATGCGCTGTTGAGGGCTCAAACTGAAAGCCCACCTACATGAGATACACTGTGATGTGAAGAAGCTGTTGGTCTGTATCATGGATGTTCAGCACGTGAGGCGCATTGCCAAGGTATCTCCTCTGGTTGAGCTTGTAGCTGAAACCAGCATTAGTGGAGTTTTTCTAGAACTGGTGACGAAGAGTCTTATATCATTTCTCCAGTTTTCTATTCTGAAACGAGTAATTACTGAGCTATGTACCGGTTCACAAGAACTGCAGGAGAAGCTAAAAGCATATGAATCGGAGTTCAATGACTACATTAGACGACGTGTCTGTGAGACTAGTATATATCATGAAGGAAGATTCGAGGTCTTCACTGGGAGTCAGTCAGACAAAAAGGTTGAACTAACTATTATCACTGACGAGTATTGGGATGATAGTATCGGATTTGTCAAAGTGCTTGATCTGGAGGCTTTGGTAGCGAAATGTTTGAATATTGATCGTTTCAACCTCCAAATGTTTAGAATTGAGCCTAACTGCCTTAGGATACGGTATGCTGTATCCATTCACATTGCGAAGACAGTATTTCCACTAACCAATGAAGAATGGAAGCAACTTTGCCATCTCGGAATTGTCAAGATTCATTGTCCAGAATATTTCTATACAACTGACGATAAAGGTACATACATAACTTCTAAATGTTTGGTTTCTTACGTGTGGTTTCTGTTTACAGTTGGAGCGCTCCCATTCAAGACTAATGATCAGTTCACTTCAATTGGTACTGTTTAATACTTTGTGTAATTGAATTTACCTTGAGTGTTTCATAGATCACCTCATTCAGTTTGGTGAGGGTCTTGGTATGGAGGTAGGGGAATTGGAGAAGTTGTGGGATAAAGTCCTCGGACGATACCACAGAGCTGTGCAGAGCCTTGTGGTGGGCATTCTGCAGGAGTCTCAGTATGCAGTGGAGAAACTAGTTCATGCTATTTCCCACATGAGGACCCCAGAGAGTGCCAAAACTGCAGCACTAGCTGTCCAAAAAGGTTATAGTCAGCAATGCTGTAATATGAAATTGTGAATTATGTTTAGTATCTTTTGCAGTGGTTTTGATGGTGGAATGCCTCACTGTACTGTTTAAAGACGTGAAGGATATTCTTCTACTTGGACAGCTGCTAAGGATGCCAGAAGAAACTCTGGCTGCTATTGACAGCTACTATGAAGAAGATTGTCATAAGATGAGCCACATGTTGTCACTGTGGCTGATGGAGGATCATGAGGATCCAGTAACTCCTCTCAGAGATGCCCTCAATTCTCTGGGGAAAGAAGAAGTCTCTCAGACTCTTGTGCTGTTGACATCCCTTGGTGAGTGGACCAGATGTGTTGATCACTGTTCAAAGTTGACTTTCTCTTCCAGACACCCATGCAGAGGATGTCACAAACACATTGTCCGCCAGTGTTGATATAAAAGCAGATGACTTTCCTTGGAAAGGTATTTTATACCACTAAATATTGATGATATTGGGGTTATATCCTTTATTCATTAGGTCATCTCATGACTCTGTCCAATCTGATGCGAGTATTCAAGAAGGTCATATACCTAGACAGGGTATCTAATGCCTTTGGCATGTCTCCTGAAGCAATGAGTGGTGATGAGGAAGAAAGACTTGGAAAGGTTTCCAACTTCTTCCTGGAGAAAAAGCTGACGTGGAAGCACCTGAGAAAGTTGCTGATCAGACATAATGAAATGCAAGCAGTACAGTTTGTTGACCTGATGGAACAGTATGTTCGTGAAGGTAACACAAAGTTCTCTTTGATGTTTGAGGATTACAGTTGATGTCCTTACAGATGCTCCTCTGACTGCAGTCTTGGCTCACGAAGTATTGAAGAAAGTTGAAATTTTAGGCAATTTTGCAAGCACCTATGCATTGCCAGAAGGGAAACTGTTATAAAAACAATACAGTTCTATGTAGAAGAGCCATACTTTGAACCGTCTTGGAAAAAGATAGCTCTGGGTCTATATCACTCATATGAAGACAGATCCATTGACTCCCTATTTCACTACATGAAGTCTCCTCCTGGTTAGTTACTGATTTGGAGTGGAGAGCGTGACTCTTAGTTGTTGTATATCTGCAGAAGTGACTCTGACAGTGGCTAATGTGAAGAACTGTTTGGAGGACTCAGTTCCCAGACACATGTTCCCCACTCTGGAGAGGGAGCTGGGAGTCCCACATCGAGACACAAGAGAAGACAGCCACCCTCTCACAGGGAATGAAACTCTGGCTGCTCTCTAACCCAACTGCCTCCTGGCAGAAATTTGCCATAGCTCTTTACTCCTCCACTCTAGATGGAGCACTGCGGAGGTTGAAGGAACTGAAACTACTCTCTGCTCAAGGTAACTATTTATCGTTCCCTTCGCTGGTCTTTTGTTTCTGGTTTAAGTGCAGTACACATCCTCTTCTGCAAGATTTTTCGGCTTGTTTTTGTAGGTGCGGCATTAGAATTTGAGCCAATGCACTTCCCTGTATTATTATATACAATGATACACAGTTTTTTTGTTTACATAGTTTCTCAAAAGCCTTAAAATAGAATTCTAGTCCCATGCACTGCCCTATGTAGATTACTACGTAATCTGCTATCTGCTCTGAGTTACCCTTAACCATGTGTAGTACTGTACTGAGTCAGGCAATTTCAAAGTGTGTAATAGCTGCGGTGAATACTTTCATTGCGCCTTTCTGCCACTGGTGAAAGTTGTAAGGCTTCTGTTTTTACATAGGCTTTAGTATTAGTACAAGTGGAAAAATCATTTCTTCAAAATGAAAGGGGGATATAGGGATGGCTTGAAGCACCAAAAAGGAAGAAACAAGGGGTCATTACACAGCAAGATGCACAAAGCTACATGACACCATCCCTATATCTTGTCTCATATTAAACTTTACTTCAAGGTAACTGTTGCAGAGTGGAAATGACGGAGACGGCAAGCGCGGCTCTTT